TTAGAACTTCAAAAGAATGTTTACATATTAGTGGAGTGGACAGAAACATGACAAATGATGTCAATGAGAATGTGTGAGGTGATGCAGCTTAGGAGAACAAGCATGGAGAGACCACACAAAATAAAGAGCATTAATCTAAAGTATGTGCAGGAAAAGAGAGACCTGGGTGTATTTGTGCATCAATCATCAAAGGTGAGAGGACGAGTGGAGAGAAGAGTTTATAAAGCTTTATTAATAGGGACATAGCATTTAAGAGCCAGGAGGTCCTGCTAATTGTTTTTATAGGACACTAGTCGGACCCCAGCAGGAGTATTGTATACAGTTCCGGGTGCCTCACTATTGGTGGGATGAGAATGCATTGGTGAGACTGCAAAACAAGTTTCCAAGAATGGTTCCAGGGATGAAAACTTCAGCTATGAAGATAGATTGGGGAAGTTGGGACTTTTTTTCTTAGAGAGGAGGAGGCTAAGAGGAGATTTGACAGAAGTTTTCAAAATTAAGAGAAGATTGGACAGAGTATATTGGAAAAAGTATTTCCACACTCAAAAGAATCAAGAAGAGAGGGTATGGATTTAAAATATTCTGTAAAGGAAGCAAATGCAAGATGAGGAAAATCTTTTCACACAGTGAGTAGTTAAGGTCCGGAATACACTGCCTAGATCTATGGTGGAGCTGATTCAGTTGAAGTATTCAAGAGGGCATTGGATCCTAGTTAGAAACATTGTGCAGGGGAAAAAGCAGAACACCACTCAGGCATAATGCTCATTAGGTTGCAGATCCAGTGGATCAAATAGTTTCCTTCAGGACTATATGAGTTCTATGAAACATAGAAGATTTTGAGTTGGATTGGCAGGGTGGATGTTGAGAAGATACTTTCCCTTGTGCGATTCAATAACAATGGCTGTTTTTAGGATACAAATATAAAACAGAAAATAGGAGCAAGAGTATACCATAATGCTCCCACAAGTTTGCTTTGCCATTCAATATGATTAAGACTGATCATCCAACTCTGTACTCCTTCCCACTTTCTTCCGTAACCATTGATCCCTTTAGCTGGTTATTGGGAACATTCATCCTATATTTACCCTGTCTAGTTCTTTGAGAATATCATCTCATAGAGAACTCCCCCCACTCCCATTCTTTAAAACTCCAGTTAATATAGTCATAACTGATCAGTCTCTCCTTTTGCATCAGTCCTGTCTTTCCAGGAATCAGTATGGTAAACCTTTGTTGCACTTTCTCCATATCCAGAACATCCTTCCTCAAATAATGAGACCAAAACAGCACACAGTACTCCAGTTGTGGTCTCACCAAGGCTTTGTACAATTGCAGCATGACATCCCTGCTTTGTACACAAATCCTTTCGCTATGAAGGTCAACATGCTATTGTTTTTGTTTTCTTCACAATCTGCTGCACCTGCATGCTTACTTTCAGTGAATGGTGTCTAACGACAGCCACGTCTCATTGCACCTGCTCATGCCAAACAGCATAAGCAATAACTGATAGAGCTAAGCTATTCCAGAATCAATGGATCCGATGTAAACTCTGCAGTCCTGCCACATCCAGTCAGGAATGGTAGAGAACAATTAAACAACCCACTGGTGGAGGAAATCCACCAATGTCCCCATCCTCAATAAGTTAACTTGTTACTGATGTTCAGTTTGTGTTGAGCTAAGGCCACTCAACTTCTGACCTGAGAGTGACTGCCATTGATCTCAAGATTGCATTTGTTCAAGTGTGACAGCTAGGATTCCTAGTAAAATAGAATCAATGTAAATCAGGAAAATTCCTCTGCTAGTTGGAGTCATAACCTGATACAAAGGAAGATAGTTGTGGTTGTTACAGGCTAATCATCTCAGCTTCAGATTCCTCTGCTGGAATTCCTTAGGATTGTGTCCTCAGCCCAGCATCTTCAGATACTAAATAAAAATCAAAAGAACCGCGGATACTCAAAATCAGAAACAAAAACAGAAATTGCTGGAAAATCTCAGCAGGTCTGGCAGCATCTGCAGAGAGAAATCAGGGTTAATGTTTCAAGTCCAGTGACTTTTCTTCAGAACTGATGGTAGCCTAGAAAATGTTTTTTATGTAGCAGACAGGATGGGGGGAAGGGTTAAGGAGTAAAGGGTAGATAGAGATAGAACCCAAAAAGAAGAAAAGAGCAGCTGGACAGACAAAGGATTAGATAATGTTCAACCTGGGAGAATGAACAGCTGCAAATGGGGACTATTAGTGGCTAACAATGGGTAGCGTGTAATAGCAGACCATGTGATAACAAGGCCAAGTATTGCTGCTTGGCCTGCTGTGTTCATCCAGCCCTGCACATTGTTGTCAAGTATATGGGGGTTGGGGTAAGGATAAGGGAGAAGGTGCCTCAAGCCGTAAAATTGTTGAATGCTGTATTGAGTGCAGAAGACTGTTGAGTTCCGAAGTGGAAAAGGAAATGGAAATGGTCGTCAATGATTGTACACAATGTTCAGCACCATTCATGGCTCCTCAAATACTAAAGCAGATTATGTCCAAATGCAGCTAGACTTGGCCAATATCCGTTTGGTTTGAGAAGTGGCAAGTAACATTTGTGCCACTTAAAAACACTCAAGAAGCTTGACACCATCAAGGGCATCAGCCCTCTTGATTGGCACCACATATACATACATTCATCACTGAAAGTCAGTTGTAGCAGTGTGCATAATCCACATGATACACCACTGAACAAGGCTCCTTTGGACAATACCTTCCAAATCCATGATCACTACCATCTA